GCGCCCCGCGCCCCCCTCCGTGAGCGCCGACGGAGGGGCGCCACCGCCGGCGGCGCTGGGCAGCGGTCATCGGAGAGCGAAGAACAGGAGGTACCGTCGCAACCGAGCAGGAAGAAGCCACACGACCGTGGTGTCGTGGAATGCGGAAGGGCTCCGCAAGAAGGTCGGAGAGCTCCAACGCTGGCTTCCCGCGGTCAAAGCTGACGTACTGGCCGTTCAAGAGGCTCAGCTCCCGAAGATCGCTCCCAGACTGCCGGGGTACCAGCCGCCGGTGGTGGTGCGTAGGGCACGCGGAAGAGTCACGGGCGCAACGGTCGTCAAGGGTGGAGACGTGGCCCTGTACGTCAGAGCCGGTCGACACTTCGAGATCATCGACGACCAGATGACGACGGCTGCCGACGATACGACGGAGATCTGTGGGATCCGGCTGCTGGACGGAGGAATGGATGGACGACCCTACCTGACTGTCATCAACATATACAGACCGCCGATCCGGGCGACGGGAGACGATCGTGCCGACAACTTCGACCCAGCGTCCATCCCGACAGACGACAAAACGCTGGTCCTGGGGGACTTTAATGCGCACCACCCCCTGTGGGACGCCGCCTGCGATGGGCCGGACGAGGTGGGACAGCGAGTGGCGGACTGGCTGGACGACATCGGATGGCGGCCTCTAAACTCTGGAGAGCCGACATTCACCAGCTACCGCTCTGGTAGTCACTCCGCACCGGACCTCGCGGTGTGCGGCGAGATGATGGCGCGCAGATCGACCTGGGAAGTTGGTCAAGACCTCGGCAGCGATCACCTACCGATGAAGATCACCATCCGGGCATCCGACGCGCGTCCTCAGAGGAAGAGGAAGGCCAGATGGGCTCACCACAAGGCGGACTGGCGAGCCTTCCAGGACGACTGCGAGGCTGCCCTGACCGGGGCGGTGCCGACGCGGACGGCTCAGGAGGCCGCCACACGCCTGACGGAAACCATCCAGAACGCGGCCAAGCGACACATTCCGAAAGGAGCGCGAGCGGACCCCCGACCGTGGGCCCTCCATCCTGACCTGCAAGAAGCCATCCGTGACCGTCAAGCTGCCAGACGTGAGATCCGACCCGACGATCCGGACAGTCGGACGCGCTGGATCGCAGCAAAGCAGCGCGCCGCCGAGGTTGAGGGACGGGTCTCCAGAGAGCAGTTCCACGAGTTTGTGGGAACGACACTGAATCGCCCAGCAAGCCTCGGAAGGGTTTCCAAGATTCTGAAAAAGTGGGAAGGAGCGACCGACGATGAGCACCGAGACGGCCAGGCGATGATGGACGACGACAAAAAGCTTCTGGTTACGGACAAGCAGAAAGCTAACGCCTTCGTTAAGACATACGCACAAGTCTCGCGTCATGTCAGAAACAAGAAGGTCGACCTCACCGCAAAGCGCAAGTTGTCTCAACCGGCGGCACGGTTATGTGAGTGCCGAGACCGGCGAACAGAGATGTGCGCGCCCTTCTCCCTGGCTGAGCTCAACGCCCAGATCGTGGAAACCAAGCTGAAGAAAACACCGGGCCCTGACGGTATCTCCAACGAGATGCTCCGCCACCTCGGCCCGATCGCCAAGAAAGAACTCCTCAGAACCTTTAACAGTTCGTGGAGCTCCGGAGAGGTCCCGAAAGAGTGGCGCGTCGCGACGGTGATACCGATTCCGAAAGCCGGCAAGGACAAGAGGCTCTTGGGCAGCTACAGGCCGATAGCACTCACCAGCAACCTGAGCAAGCTGTTGGAGCGCATGATCTTGGCCCGACTTACCTACTTCGCGGAAAGCCGAGGGTTGCTCCCTCCAGAACAGACGGGTTTCCGAGCGGGGCGGTCGGTGGAGGACAACATCGGCCGCCTCGTCCAAGAGGTGCAGGACGGATGGCAGCGACCGGCGGTCGATCGAAGAACGGCGGCGAGGAGGCCTGATGGAAGCGTGGCACAGAAATACGTCCTCGTGGCCTTTGACTTTGCCCGAGCGTATGATGTAGTGGACCATCGCCTCCTCCGGCTCAGCCTGACCGAACAGGGACTGCCGCTGTGTCTTGTCCGCTGGGTGTGGCAGTGGCTGAGAGACCGAAGGACGAGAGTGGAGGTTCGCGGGGATCTCTCCGGTGAGCGGGTCTTCCGCGCCGGACTACCCCAGGGCAGCGTGCTGTCGCCCAGCTTGTTTGTGTTATGGGCGGCGCCGCTGGTGGAGGTCATCAAGAAGATCCCCGGATGCACACCCTACATGTATGCGGATGACACGGCGGTGCTCTGCGCGGGCAACACCATTGAAGTGGCGAGGGAGAGGGCCCAGAGGGCAGCCGACGCGCTAACAAGGTGGGCGCGCGAATCCAAGATGAGAGTCTCCGGCGAGAAGACCCAACTTCTGGTTCTCTCGCAGCAAGCCAAGGACGCCAAGGACTGCCGCATCAAGGTAGCCGGTAGCACGGTCGAGGCGCGGGAGACTCTCCACCTTCTGGGCGTCACATTGGACAGACTCCTGCACTTCGGGCCGCACTGCCGTCGTCTACGAAGAAAGACAAGACCAAGAATCAACCAACTCAGACAGCTCACCGGAAGGTCGTGGGGGCTCGGCGAGAGGCTCCTCCGGACGGTAGCTAACGGATACGTCCGCGGCGCCATAGAACACGCGGCGGCGGCGTGGCTGCCTGCGGCTGCGACAACGCATCTCGGCGTCTTGGAAGTGGAGATGTTGGCGGCGGCACGCACCATCACCGGCTGTCCGATCTCCACCCCGAGACACGCTGTGAGAGCAGAGGCGGGCGTCGTGCCGATGGCGGCGAGGAGGGATGCGCTGGCAGCACGCCTGCTGGCGAAAGCGCACTCTCTACCGCCGGAGGATCCGCTGCACGCCGTAGCAGTAGCGGCCCCCGTGCCGCGTCTCAAGTCCGTGACCGGATGGAGAGACCGCGGGAGAGCGGTGTGGGACCGCGCGGGCGTGGAGTTGCCCGTCGAAGCTCGCCTAGCCACGAGACCGCCCCCGTGGACAGCGACGGAAAACGTGTCGATCCGCCTGGACGTCGGCCCGCTCCCGGTCGGAGCGACCGCGTCGATGAGGAGAAGCGCTGCGGAGGCGTGCTTGGGAGCGCTCCCCCAGTGTGCGACGTGGGCTTGGACCGACGGGTCGGCGACCGGCGGAGTGACGGATGGCGGCGCCGGGGTCCTCATCGAGCACCCAGACGGAACAACTGAAGTTCTGCGAGAGGCGGCGGGGAAAATATGCTCTAGCTACCGGGCTGAGATGGTGGCGCTGAAGACGGCAGTACAACATCTCCTGGAGCACCCACCCCTCGAGCAGGATATAATCATATGCTCCGACTCACAGGCGTCACTTGCGACGCTGAGGGGAGGACCAGCGGCCCAGACGTCCCCTCTAGGTGCCGCCATCTGGGAGCACATGGCGGCACTGGTGGCTGATGGGGACCGAAGAGTCCACCTCCAATGGGTGCCGTCCCACTGCGAGCTGGAAGGAAATGAGCGGGTGGACGCCATCGCCAAGGAAGCCGCCGCCCTCCCACAGCAGGGAGTCCCGGTCGACGTCCGCACAGTGTACCGTGCGGCGTCCCGGATCGCCAGAAAGGAGGCGACCAACAACTGGCCGGACGGCTGGTACAGGCGGCTGATGGACGGCCACCTACCCGCACCGCTACCCAGCACTACACCACGCGAGGTGGCGGTTGATGTGCACCAACTGCGCGCTGGTCACTGGTCGGGATCTGCGCAGTACCTGCATCGGATCGGCAGGAACCCCGGCCGGGACTGCGCACAGTGTAACTCGCTGGCGTGCCGGGCGGCCGGCTGCCGCTGCTGTGGCGAGGGGGAGGCGGACACGCCAGAACACATCCTGCTACGCTGCCCAGCACTGATGCGACTACGCCTACGACACCTAGGCAACATATACCCGAGGGAGGAGGAGGTCCGGAGCAGCGGCGTGGTGGCGGCCCTGGGGGCCGCCGCCAGGTACCTCCAGAGCCGGGAGGCTACGTAGCGACCGCTACGTGGGGAGTCAACAACAACAACAACAACCTGACTATCCGCGGCTCTGGATTGGACCACGCTCATCTATTCTTTTTACGTTACCAGGTGGTGGTGCCTCGATTTAAGCATCAGCTTTTGCACCACCACCTGGGCTATTTGCTTATTCCCATTTTATGTTTAATAAATGTGTTTTGTTGTTGTTGCTGTTGTTGTTGTTGTTGTTGCAGTGCATGGGCTAGACAAAATCATTACAAAATATGCGAGTATACTAAGTTCCCAGAATAGCATGCAATCACTCTTAAAGTGCAGTTTCCTATCGGCTCACCACTGCAAACCGTAGGAATTTGGCAGTTCATATCAGTCCCCGAGTAATGGGTATTGTACATAGGTAAGTACATACGTACACATCCCTATAAGCCTACGATAGGCGTTATCACAAGTGTATTCGCGGCCATTGGGGCGACGTAAGAAAAGAAGAAAACAACTGGCCCCAAGAACTTTAAATTATCAGTTAGCATGCACCTTTTCCTTGATATGTAGAGAATTTACCATTAATTGTAAGAGAAAATTGCATTTAAAATCTTCCATTTATGTTTTTTTCATCGTTTGCGCAGTATGTTCTTTTAGTAAGCTAGAAACGCTAATTAGAAATAGTTCCCGCATCATCAAGAACAATAGGAAAGGCTTGAAGTGAATGCAATAATCTAAACGGTTTTGTAATCCATGTGAAGACACTTCTAAAATTGCCTGTAGAAATATTAAAGGCAAAAGTTCAACTTTTTCACAAAACGGATGGCTATAAACCTATTCAACGTGTGACAACTCAGCCGGTATTTCGTCGCCTACAGCCCAGCTTTCCCTAGTGACCGATAGAGGCGCTGCTATCGATGTCCGCCCGTGCCGCCTAACGTTCCAGCCCTTTCCCCTTGTTCCGACTTTTTCTTCTTCTTCACGACCCCATTCGCCGGCAAAGTACGAAGGTCAAAAGCATAAACAAAACTATTGAAAATGTGTATTTGTTCATGCCATTGGGTTCGAGATAATATGATGATTAACACCGTCTTAGTTTTTTTTTTGCATAGCCGCTCCTCGATCTGTAGTTAGCATTCCTCAATTTCCTGGTAAGGCGCCCTATCAGTACTATCAGTGGCGTTGACTGGGTGATGGCGACAGGTCATGGTGGGTGTATGAGATGGTCATAGTGTGTCGTGGATTTCAAGCACTGGGGATGGTGGCGATGTTGGGTTGGGTTGAGCCGGTGATAGTGGCAGAGGGAGGGTGCGAGAGAAGCGAGGCTGAGTGTTGCGGGTCCCCCATCCTGCATCTGTTGTTGAAATTCGGCAATTTCCTGGTAAGGTGCCTCGACAGTCTCATATATACCATCAGTATCATCGTCCTGATTGTGCTCATGCATTTCAAGCGCTTCCGTTGGCGGAGTTGGTGGTAAGGGCCTGTGGTAGACGTGTTGATAAAATCCTCTTGTCATTTGACGACTATCAGGAAGAGATTGGTAACTATGATATTGTTCTACAGTATGCGAGATACGCCGTCTTTGCCAACGCTTACGATAAACGAGCAAGGCTAGCATGACAACTATCGCAATTAGGACCACAACACAGATGATAGGGATCAGAATCTCAGTGTAGGTGAAGCCGGTGCGGACCTGGTCTGAGCCATCGTCGGACGTCTGGTCACTGGTCTCAGGAATCGTTTGTTGGTCCTGGATAGTTGATTCACCCGCTATCTGAGGCGGCTGTGGCTTTGTGCCTTCTCTGAGAAAGTTGGTCGGGTTAGTGATCGGGTTAGCAGGCGGCGGAGTGATAATTGGCTCCGTGCAGAACACCTGCAGGTAGTGGCCCAGTGTCGGCAGCATGCCCTTGATCACGCATAGAGGCTGTTGTATCCAGAACGTATGCTCGGAAGACATGTCCAGACCCAGTGTTAATGTTATGTTACACTCACAGGGTGTGTCTGTTTTGAGCTCATGCACTATTACTCTTTGGTTTTTATCGAATAACAGTGATCCGTGCTGTGGATGTTTTATATGGAGGTTGTCTAGCTGAATCCGGTGGTGTGCTAAGTCACTGCCTTGTGTAACTTTAAGCGACCCGAATGCGTCCTTTTGGAGAGTATCGATTGTGCAGTTCCTGATTGTGATATCGCTGTCAGCAAGCACCGCAAATGCTTTCTTTGAAGCTTCCTCGATAGTACTGTTCTCAATGGAAAACTTCGCGACATTCAGCTGCAGCCCTTCCTTTTCTATCGCTCCGAATGTACTGTTCTTGATTTCAACTTCCCTGACCGCCCCGTAGATGGCCGATGTTTCGATGTGATTCAAGCGGCTGCTTTCAATGATTAGTTTGTTCATTCCATTACCAGCTGTTACGCATTTTTTCCTAGTGCGATGGATATGCGACGAGCTGAGCGACATAGATCCAATGCTGCCACCTAACGCCTTCTGATCGCACGTTTCCATGGTAACGTTGTCAAGCCTCAGCTTCTCAATTTCTGCCTGAATACCTGTGGATTCAATGGCAAGATTCTTCACGTTGATTAACCTTGCCTCCTGAATCCTTGTATTTTTCGCTATTGCTCCTGAGTGCATAGTGAGGTTTCCGATGTCCATGAACAATAAGTTGTCCACTGTCACATTGAATATGAAGGCTCTCTTAGAGACGGAAAGTGAGGCTATGTTCATAATGCTAATAATATGTATCTGGGTGTTATTACCGAAAACGTTTTTATGAATGACCATCGATTGTATCCTACTTAAAATGAAACTGTCAAACTGTGCTTTGGCAATGGAATGCTGAAACATCTGACAGTCATCCACGTCTTTTACGATGATTCTTGAGTCTCCTCTCCAGTCAGCCACAGTCTCAGAATAAATTTGAAGACTCTTCACTGCGCGTATTCTCACGGTGATCTGTTCGGAGTTGTTGCCGCGCGCCAGAGAGCGGGTTTGCAGGATCAAGGTGCTGACGTTGGTGATCTCGAAAAACTTTAGAGATGTCAGCTTGGCGATGGCGTCCTCACCGATCGTTATGGTCTCGGCACCGGATATTCTGATTTTTTGCACACCTCTCGGGAACGATGCCTCCGTGATGTGGATCTGGAACGGACACATGACCACCATTAGCCCGCGTCCCGTGAGGGGAGTGGGCGACGCACCTCCATAGCTTCTTCCTGTGATGTTTCCTAAAGAAATGTCGACACCGAATTGTCAGAACAAATTTATGAAGGGAAGAGTGGGACAAAGCTGCCATCCTAACGCTTCTTACAATCTCGACGCTTCATTTTTATACTTGGAAAAATTCTTTCAATACCTACAAATGTGATCCCTAATAAATTGTTTTTTATCTCAACTGCGTTTTATCTCCAAAGGGGCCCACATGTGGGAAATGGCAAAACCTTAACCCTATTAGTGGCAGGGGCGTTGTTTTTATCCACCCCTCAGGTTTTTCGGGAATATCTCCGAAACCGCTGAAGTTACGATGCTGAAATTTTCTGACTTTTCCTAAAACTAAATTGGGCACATTCCCTGAAAATTTCAAGTTCATAACTTTACCAGGGGCGGCTCCAGAGCACTGGGAATTGGGGGTCCTATTCGTGAAGCGAGTCATTTGGGCGAAGATCACGATGCTGCACCAGTTTTACGAACAGTGAATGAAAGGTATCATGTGATAACATATACAAAGTTATTGTGCATCCTCTTTTGACACGTTTTTGCTATAATAGGCGGATCCAGGCGTCCAAAAAGGGGGTTATTTTTTACCTCCCAACATAGGTGCCCTGACACCGCCTATGCATGACCAATACAATTTTAGTCGTTCTCTCATAAGAAAATTGTAACATAACAAGACCATTGCCACCCTTTTTAGAAACAGTACCAACAAAAACCTTATTTACTATACTTTTTATGTACCCCCAATCTCAATGATCTGTATCCGCCTATGATTTTTGAAAATGCATATTTTTAGGATCCATGTGAATTGCTGGTTCATTCTCTATCGATCGGCAAAAGTTGCGTTAAGATTGGTTCAGAAACCTGGCCGTGATAAACAGTCTAAAATGTATCTGCAATTTGCCCGTTTTTACCCCCCTCTACCCCCCTATTGACATTTTTTAATTTTATTTTTTTAGAAATGTAGATCTCGTTGAGCGAAATCGAATGCCGTTTGAATTTTGAAAATCGGCCCGTTAGATCTTGAGATATCAAGGGGGGGTCGTAAACAGCCCCCCCTGCCACTAATAGGGGGTAGCCAGGAGCCTGCCACTAATAGGGTTAACCCTCGCCCTGGCAGGGGGGGGGGTCGATGCGACCCCCCCCGAAGGTTTTTCGAAGATAGCGTAAAAACGGCTTGTTCGGCTTATGGGGCAACCTTTTTACATATGACCTGAAAATTTCAAGTCCGGGTGTCCTTGGATCAGGTCACCAGGTCAGAAAAACCGGTACAAGGTCATGGCCAAATTTCAATTTTCTTTTTACACCTGTCCAACTCACAGTTTGGGACTGATTTCCCTCAAACTTTCAGGATGTGCTAAGTTCACTGAGTTGTATAACATAAAGTTCGGGTTTTTTTTTTAGGTCACTGACCTGAGGTCAGTTAGAGGTCATTACGTCGTAATGTTAAGCCTATGGGAAAATACTAAATTCGGAAAATACTGGAGATATCCGCTTCGTTCCATCACTTTTGTGCTTTGAAACCACAGTACTTAACAGCTCAGGTCACTTAGTGCTTCTTTGTTTGGTGTACTTATCCATGGGTCAGGTCAAATGAGGTCAACTGAGGTCAAATGACCTTTTTGCCAATAACTTGGCACATAATGACGCTAGAGCTTTTGACTTGTTTTTAGCGAAATTTTTACATTTATACCCCCCAAAACCCCCTAAATATTGACCTAGAGCAACCAAATTTGCACAGGGGCGAGAACTCCAGGGCCCAATCTTGTAAACGCCGTGAAATGGATATGGCAGCACTCTAAGGCTGGATATATAGTACGCAATCTTATAAAACTCTGTAAAATCGAAAACACGGCACGCTCCCTACAGCATTGGTAGCCGCCGGTTTTGAGGATGCCCTAGCATGCTTTTAAAGGGACACTCCCACCTTAACATTAGTTTTGAGTTGAGATAGCCAAATTGGTGGCCATGGCCTGCAAATACCGGTTTGGGCACTCACAACATCGAAAAATGCTTTAATTCGAAGATATGGAATTTCAAACTTGCAGTTTTCGGATTCTAAGGGGCTAATGCATTGGAATGCCCCCTTAGAATTTGTGACGTCAGCGGAGATCTAACGATTTTTAAATCTTAGACTAAAACCATCGTTAACACGTGGTGGTATACGCTGCTTTGCGCGCAACGTCTGTCGCACTTTAAGGCTGCCAAATTATTGCTTCCAAATAAAGTCGCTAGTAACAGGGGAGATCCCAAAAAGTAAACAAAAGTAAAAGCCTAATATCTTGAAAACCAGTGAATATTTTTCGGTGAAATTTGGTAGACATTCGTATTTCGTTTTCGCTCTTTCTGAACCAAGGGACATCACTTTCATGCCAATTCATTAACTTTTTTGAAGGTGGGAGGGTCCCTTTAACCGTGAGCAGCTGTGCACATCTCAAAACACTGACAATCATCAGCTGTTTGCGGTTTCAGCGGCGTCCATTTCACGCCAGAATTTGTGGCGTACTTTGACGAGCTTCTCAGACAGTTTAATTAATTTAAGATAAATTCAATGTTTTTATGATATAAGTATGCAATATTTTACGTATATGATATTTTTAAGGTTAAAACATCCTCCACATGTTAACTCATAGTTTATTATAATGATGCTTATTATACAGACAACGATCAATTTCAAAATATGTATTTTCAGGAACTAAATACACACTAAAACACATAAAAACGAGTGTTCATCGTTATATGGATTTATTTTTCAAATAAAAAGGGGATTTTTAAGAGGATTTTAGCACCTGTAACCATCATAGATTTTCGGCAGCCACTGCATTATAGAATCGGTATGGGTCTTTAGCCTATTCTCACGTCTCACGTATGACACAAATAACGGACACTTCATGGCTTCTGATTAGATATTTAAATTAATGATGATATACCTTAGTTTGTCAAAAAATTGTAAATTCCTACTCACTATTCGTATCTCCTCACTTTCTGTCTGGCGCAGTTAAGGATCAATGTGTTGTTTCTCTTCCTGCATCTCGAACTGACTTCTGAGCCGAGTATTTTTCTTGATATGCTTTGATATGTAGACTGGGTTCTTCAATCTTTTGAGGAATTGCTTTTTAGCTTGAGGTTAGGTAACAGGTACCTATGCTTGAATAAGAAGGAAAATAAGCTGTAACTTGACCTAATTCAGTTCATGTACGTAGTCTTCGAATTTTAGTAGTTTATCTTCAAGAAGGAAAATGTTAAGAGCTTATGACAAGAAGGAAAATAAGCTACCTATATCTTGAATTGATCCAGTTAATGTACGTATCCTGATGCTCAAATTGTAGGAGCTTCATTGTCAACGGCATTACTTAAATTACTGAAACAGTAGCCGAGCTATAATTAATGAATATTTAAACAATTCTTTAACAAATTTATTGCGATGCCTTAACAGCAAATAAATGCAAATGATAAGTAGAAGAAACACTTTATTCACTCGAATTTCTGAGCGCGAGAATGCCCTCGCTGAAATTTATTTGGTCAGCAATCCACTTTTCAGGAGAATTCTTCAAGCATGTTTGTGTTTTCCATAGTTTGCTATCACGTTTTCCATAAATAACTTATTCATTACACATATGTGTGTCTCTAAAAGAAATAAATGCCCCATGAAAATTAAAACACATAACTTTTGCTGTTCGCAAACAGTACGCATAATTTCCAATAGCGACGGCGACAAGACATTGACCAATGACGTTGCGTGTTTCCTGCTGGCGTTGATTTGTACTGTGGGCAAAATGGCGTGAATAGAATTACCATACTATTCTCTTTATAAGATTGCGTGAATAGGGTGCCGTAAATAGAGTGGGGTGGAATGATAGTACGCCATTTGGTAGCACAACCTTTATAAGATTGGGCCCAGGGGGCCCACCTACCTGCCAAATTTGGTGTTTCTAGGTGCCATAGGAGCCAATCGCGAGGGGGGTCGCATCGCCCCCCCCCCCTGTCAGGCCGTGTTACGAAAATGCCCTGCCAGGGCGAGGGTTAACCCTTGCCGGCACAGGCCATTTTGCGTCCTTCGACGGCACAAGGGGGGGGGGGGGTGGGGGGGTGCGACCCCCCTCTCGATTGGCCCCTAATCAAGCTAGAGCTTCGCGGAAAAAAAACGAGCGTGTTACCCCTGACCAGAGAAAGCCGAAAATACCCAATATTTTAATGTCCTAGGTCATCGGTAGAACTTCCAGGTCAGGTCAATGACCCAAAAGTCGGAAAAATCGGGACCTGTTGGAACGTCGTAAAGTGTGGCTGCTGTGTGATTTCTCGGGGTGCTGATCACGAACATCATGTTAGTTTTGATCACAGATGGTGTCTTTATGCATTTAGGCCGGGTCGGGTCAGTCAGGTCAGGTCTAACAGTAGGGGTACTGCCGGTTATTTTTAGTACGTGTCAACCGCCTCGTGGCATGTTACGAATGCACCAAAGCTACTTCGTAAATGTTCAAATGGTTGCTAAATTCGAATTCAGCTCTAAAAACTAGCCTAGAAACATCTAAAACTTGACAAAGTGAACCGAGTTCATCCAAGGTCAATGACCTGACCGGGGAACATTCACTCTGCCCAGGGTTCATAATGTCCAGGATACGATATGCCCAGTGTCGAAACGACCAGTGCCTTGAATGGGCCAGAGTTAATATGTCCAGGGATTGCATAGTCCAAATGTGGCCAACTGCCTGCAGATAGAGTAAATTCAAAGAGGCCAGGGTATTTCATAATGTCCAGGGCACGATGTGTCCAGTGTTCGAAATGGCCAAAGTTCATAATGTCCAGGGCACGATGTGTCCAGTGCTCGAAATGGCCAGGGCTCATAATGTCCAGGGCACGATGTGTCCGGTGCTCCAAATGGCCAGTGCCGTGAATGGGCCAGAGTCCATAATGTCCGGGGATTAAGGAGATTTAAAGTTAGGTTAGGTTAGGTTGGGTTAGGTTAAGTTAGGTTAGGTTAGGTTAGGTTGGGTTAGGTTAGGTTAGGTTAGGTTAGGTTAGGATTGGTTAGGTTGGGTGGACTATGTAATCCCTGGACACTATGAACTCAGGCCCATTGAAGGCATTGGGCATTTTGAACACTGGGCACATCGTGCCCTGGACATTATGAACCCTGGCCATTTCGAACACTGGACTCATCGTGCCCTGGACATTATGAACCCTGGCCATTTCGAACACTGGACACATTGTGCCCTGGACATTATGAACCCTGGCGCCAATTCAAGGCACTGGCCATTTCGAACACTGGACACATTGTTCCCTGGACATTATGAACCCTGGCCTAAATAATACGCACCCGACCTGTCCTGACCTTCTGGTGACCTTGAAACACACCCTAATGCATGAGAGCAACATCATATCCCATGCTTGAACGCTTGAAACCACGAAAAGACTGCATACGCGCGGCTAATGCGAGCCGACATACGCCGAATCGCGATTCCGGCCAAACATGGTCTTGAAAAGTAGGTCACAAGTCAAAGGTCATTAGGGTTAGGGTCATAAAATTTTCAGGGTAGGTGTAAAATTGATTAACGCGAGGGTACTGAAAGTTTCGTCGCGATCAGCCGCTTTTTGCGCGAGGTATTCGCGAAAAACAGAGGGGGGTCCGTTCGACCCCCCCCCCCCTATACGGGCGAGGGTTAAATGAAGGTCTATGGTACTTAACGTAGCCAGGTCACATGGGCATGGAAGGGCATTCCTGCAGACCTGTTCCACTATGTTTCACATGGTGGACAATTCAATAGGTATGGGACAAAAAAGTAGGTCAAAAGTCAGGTCAAACTCAGGTCAAAGGTCAAAATTCACAGCATTGGCGTCTGGACCCAGTTGGCGAAGAGGCAATTGACGGTGTTCACCCAGAACGCATTCTTAGGGTGCGGAGACAATGTGATTTACTCAAAACGCCATGCAAAGTTCAAGGTCAAGGTCAGGTCACGTCAAGAAAGTAGTCACTAAACGGGCTAAGTGCGACACATGTTTTATGGGTCATTTTGCCCATATAATGCAATGGTGATACTTACTTAATGGTTTGGACAACATTTGGATGAAGTTCAGTTCATAGGTCAGGTCAGGTGAGGTCAAAATAGGTCAAATTTTAAAATTAGTCTTTTCAAACACAATTGGTGTATATCTGATTCAGTTTTTCATGGCGAATCCAGCAGTGGTATTTTCATAGTTGTAGGTGATCTAGAACTTCCAAAATTTGCAATAAGAAATATTTTTTCATGTGTAGTTTTGCGGCTTTTTGGCCATTCTGTGACCAATAATTGATGGATTGCCTAAAAATTTGGTATGAGCATAGCAAATACTTGTTTTCATAACATATATTCCGGTTTTTAAATTTAAAAAAAAAACTTTTTGTTTTTTATAGTTAATTTTTTATAACTTAACCCGCGCCCTGCTGGGGGGTGTTTGAACACCCCTTGTGGTTTTCCGCGAATATATTAAAAACGGCGGCGCGAAGCGCCGCCGTTTTTGGTACATTTTATCATACATCAATTCTACACATGTTGTGAAAATTTCAGACCAAGATCATTCAAGGTCAGGTCACCAGGTCACTTGAAGTGACCTCACCTCATAAAAAGTTTCAATGTCTGCCATAGCTACACCGAGTGACCGATCGCTTTGAAACTTTCAGTGATTGCTAAGAGCAATAGCATGTACAAAAGGTATATCTCAGAATTTTGATATCGATGACCTAAGGTCAGGTCAATTTTGCGACCTCCCCATTATAAGTCAATGGGAGACAATTGAAATGCGCCTCTTTTGGATAAATGACATTATAAACACTCCCAAATACTGAATTACAAGTGGCTTAGACACACTGAACATGAAAATGGTGTCCGTGACCCCCTGTTTATGCCCCTGAGGTCAGCTTAGGTCACGAATGGTATCTAAGAGTTTTTCGCAAATAACTTTTGATTGAGGCATGCTATAGCGATGAAAACGCCTTAGATGTGTTCAGCTCGACGATACGGATCGACTGATATGCAACATGACCCTTTCCGGTCAGGTCATGAACTTGACCTGAGGTCAAATTTTCAAGTTGACCTTTCAAGGTCAAGTTATAGTTCATTCGATGCGTCTTGACCAGAGGAACACGATGCCGGTAAAAGTAAGCTCGTACAAGGCTTGGGTCAAAGTAATTGCAGAAAAACTGTTTCCGAAAAAAGATCGGCTATTTTTGCAGTTTTTGCCCCCTGCAGGCAAAACCGTTGACGTTAGGTCAATCTGAGAGAATTACTCAGAAAGGGCGTTAATAGGGCTATCGAATGCGCTTTTCTGCGGCGCTGTAGCTCTATTGGTTCCCGAGTTATGCATTGGCTTCTTGGACATTGTCGACATTCGACCTGGAAATCGGCAAAATTTTGCCTTAAATGACCTCTGGTGACCTGACCTTTGACCTGACCAAAAAATTGACTGAAATGATTTCTTCATTATTTTTGACGTTCTTTCGAACGCCGCCTTCCGCGTATCGCTACGTGGCCTAGGAGCCGAGTTAGAAGGGGGGGGGTGTTCAGACACCCCCAGCAGGGCGTGGAAATCCAGGACCCCCAGCCGGGCGCGGGTTAAGAGTAAAAAACTCAAAATTGCTAAAATACGAGATAGCCGTTTTGTAGCGCGCTTCATTTTACATCCTTGGTGGCTTTTCGGGCTATTTGCTTCAAAAATGTAATTTGGGTGAATTTATAAACATTTAGACGATTTTGACCGAAAATCGCTTGTAGTGACGTCATAAAACACAATTTTCTCAAATCTTTACAAAGGGGATTTCGATAAAACCTGCACAGTCGATGTCAAATTGATATAGAATAAGGTACCCTAAATTTCGTGGCGATATCTGCAACGGTTTCGCGGTTATCATGAAAATCCAGGAGGGGCAGAATCTGTCCTCCCCCCCCCCCAGCGGGGCGCGGTTTAATATTATCATTATAATACTAATGTAAATAATAAGATTATGTTATGATTATTATTATTATTGTTATTATTATTATTATTATTATTATTATTATTATTATTATTATTATTATTATTATTATTATTATTATTATTATTATTATTATTATTATCATTTTTATTATTATTATTATTATTATTATCATTATTATTATTATTATTATTATTATTATTATTATTATTATTATTATTATTATTATTATTATTATTATTATTATTATTGTTATTATTATTATTATTATTATTATCATTATTATTATTATTATCATTATCAAAAGTTCATGCTCCCCTATCTTACATGAAAACTGCGATATGGCATGGATGAAAAAATGGATGTTCGGGTATGTTCGTCACACCCCATATGTAGAAAACCGATAGTTCCGGCGAGGGTAAAGCCCATGCCACATGTTGCGAAGCCTATAGTGGTGGTAAACACCTACCTACTACGAAAAGACGAAACGGAGGTACGCGTTTCGCGTACCTCCGTTTTATTTATTTTTCTCACCTGTTTAATTTGCCGGAATTTCATGTTGCAGAATACACTCTTGGCCAAGGTCTGGCATTCTTTCCGAGCATCCAGCTCGCAGTTTGTAGTGAGACAGTCGGTGGCAGAGACCACATACTGGACGATGACTGCCACAACCAACAGCGCGATCAGCGGGAAGGTCCCGCCCATCCTGGAGGGACCAGACTGGCCTCTGGAGAGGAGCGATCTCAGGTCCGTGAGGAACGGATGTGACCAGAGCGGCGGGCTGCTCGACAGGGAGTGACCGGTAGCGTCGGTACAGTAGGGTGATGCGTCAGTGACGTATCAATCAGTGACACGCTGCACAGGCGGCTATCAGCTTAGCGAAGGCAGATACAGGGTGTTTCGCTAAAAGTGTCAAAAAGTAAAAGGCCCTAATGCACATAATAACAATGTTTTCTATGGACATTTGCACATCATTCCATCCGCGATTGTTGGACATTTAAATATATAAAAATGATATCACCGTCACTCAAACCTATTCCACATATCCGCCGCTTCTTTCGATGCACCGTTTCGGCACGTGTCCGGAGGTGCCTCACAGCCCGTTTTCATCTTCAGCGTCCAGACTGTCGGCAAAGCCTTGCATTGTGCTCTTCAGCTCCAAAAGTGATGCGACTTAAGTCTTCCTCAGCTCTGCGAGAGCTACTGACCAAAACCAGAAGGCTAGCGGTGACAGATCAGGGCCTCGCGCTGGCCAGGGGCGGGCGGTGAGGCAGCTGATTATTCGGCCCGGGAACGGAACTTCTGGTCCAGCCAGTTCTTGGTGGCTACAGCCGTTACAGCGGTTGTTTCTGATAAATTGGGGGCTTGGCTATTTCTGATGTTGAAATAAGCTTCTTGTTATCTTAAAAGGCCCTCAGAAAGACCCTGACCTTTTCAACGATTTCCGCCGAGAGGTGGGGGCGACCCGCCTTTTTTGGACTGGAACCGGCATCAAAGGAACCCTTTTAAACCTCTCAAGAAGCCCTTTGAAACTTTTATAATCTGGGTCGTAGCGAGCTGAGAGAGTGAAACGTTTCCTGAAAAGTCGGCGTACGGTTTCAATGTTTCTGATAGCACCAAATGTAAGTGTAATCCACCGCTCCTGTTGCGGTGTAAATAACCTGTTCTTGTTCTGTATAAGGAAAAAAAACGACTAGTAACTTTGGCCTCCTGCCCTCGCTCTGTATGAGTGTAAAATATATCTTAAGTGGCCAAAGCATAAATGTCCAAAAATTTGCAACAAAGCCACGTGCGCAACCACGTGCTTTGCGTATTTTATATATCTTTAATAAGCATTTACTTTTTGACACTTTTAGTGAAACACCCTGTAGGTGCGCATACCTGCAGTGTTTTAAAGTGGTGGGGTGGCGAGGGATTAGCTATCGTGTAAGAACAAGGGATGGGGGATGCGCAATGTCCGTATTAAAAGCAGTGCATGATAGGTAATCATAGTTGTATCAGTGATCCTGTCAGCGGTGCCCGAGATCCTGCTGTCGATGCTACCATGCCTATCAATGATCCCCCCCCCCTCCCGCTTCTGGTCAGGTGACCCTGGAGAGCACCACGCTGGCTCAGCAGCTGTCCTTCCAGACCAAGATTCTCTCGCTGCTCATGGATCATCTCACAGCAGCCGACGTACTCATTGGAGAACAGGGTAAGAGAAGAGTCGCCGGATCGCGTCTCAGCGCCCCTAGCATCGAAGTGGCGCACACTGGGCGGATCGTCACTTCTAGCATGATATGGGCAATAAAATCGAAGTGTGTAGAAGTGCAATATAACCTATAACTCTGTGTTAAGAAATGATCATACTACATTGTTATGGTCTTTGTTTTCTAGCACTGAATTGCTTTTTCATGGCGAAAACTCGGCCTAAACACGAGCTTCTGAATCGTTTTGACCGGACCCGTCTCCCGGACTCATCGACAGCGTATCTTTGATCCACTAAAACCATCACAAATAGAGGAGGAATTCCACCTTCGTATATGCCAAACGATAGCTCCGGGCCTGAAGAGCACAGTAAAACACATAACAATGGCGAAAGCTAACTTATTACGGATGTAATTTGCACCGCAAAGATTTAAAGGCGAAAATAAAATTTCACACTATTGCGGTGTCACACACAAATACCTAGACTTTTAAAAAAGTACCCCAAAGTTCCGCTTCGAAAATCTCGCTACATGTTAAAGAGACATTGCACTACAAGATCTAGCGGTCATTTCCTGCGACTTTTTGCGACATTGGGTGTAGCAGCCAAAAACACTGCCCCGGCTCCTGCCTCGGGGACCAATAGAACTACATCGTCGCGGAAGAGCGCATTCAATAGCTCTTTTAACGTTCTTTCTGAAATGAGCCGTCAGATTTGGCATAACCCGCGCACCGACGGGGGTCTGCGCCAACTTATAGAACCGACGGGGGGGGGGGGGGCGGATGACTGCCCCCGCCTGAGATCTAGAGAACGAAGCAAGATAGCGACAAGCAGTAAACGGCATGGGATACGTACGGACAAGGTCTACAATTTTTACAAAGGTCATTTTCAGATCAGGTCAAATATGACGTCAAAAAAGTCGAAATGGCGGCGCTAGACATGGAGAGAGTTTTTCTCGAATAACTTTCGAACTAGTCAAGGTAGGAACAAACGAAGTGCATCATCGTGATCCTCTTGCCAATCCGCATCGAATGATATATATATATGTTGACCTCAGGTCACGTGACCGAGAGGTCATCATGTAAATCATTTGATGCGCCTTGACGAGCTGAACACAATGAGACCATCCGCGCGGTTGTATCTTGTTCCGGTACGGAGTTATTGGCAAAAACCCTTTGGTGACCTTTGATGACGTCACATGACCTTACAGCTGCCCAGCAGCAAAACAGACCCCAAGGTAGTGAAGGTTGATCATATATGAAGTCATATATGGTTTATGGGGCCATTCCGACCCGTTTTAGTGGTAAAAACAGGGGGTTGATTTTTCCCCCATTGACTTATAAAGGGAGGTCGAGAAATTGACCTGACCTTAGGTCATCGATATCAAAATTCCGAGATGAACATATTGTAGCTACTAATGATCTTATAACATCCTGCGACTTTTAAAGGCCTCCGACATCTACTGTAGCTCTGGCACGGTGACAAAGTTGCAAAAAAGTGACTTGAAGTTGGGTCATTCAAAGTGACCTGGTGACCTGAACTAAAAGGTTAGGAGGTTCAAACTTGCACACCATGTGTAACATTGATGAGAGAATAGTCGTGCCAAATTTCGCGGCGCTACGCGCCGCGGTTTTCCCGCTATCTACAAAAAACCTCAGGGGGGGCGGATATCCTCCCCCCGTCGGTGCGCGGGTTAACCCTCGCCGGACCTATTGGTTTTCTACATACGCGCCGGCCGAGGGGGGGGAGGGTACGACCCCCCCTCGCCGTTTTGCCCCTGGTGGAGCTAGCGCGTCGCGGAAAAAAACGAGCGTGTGCGCCGTTACGAGACGTGCAGAGATTGGTACCCGATTTTAAGGTCCTCGGTCAACCGGTGACCTCTGAGGTCAGGTCAAGTGCCCCAAGGTACGGTTCAGTTTTTGGTGAATAACTTAACTTCGCAAAAAACGGCCGCAGAGACGCGATTTTGGCACCATCGTGTTCGCCTCGCTCAGCTGCGCGTCGAATGGTATACTTTTTGTTCGGGTCAGGTCAACTTAGGGTGTTGACCTCAGGTCAAGGTCAGGTCAGCACCCCCAGGTCACGAAGTTGGTCGAAAGAGGTCATGTTGCATATCATTCGATTCGGCAGGTTTTCCTGAGTCCATTGGTGGCTTTCTCGACTCCCTAGCTCAATTTGATCGGGAGTTATTGACGAAAAACTAATCTGACCTTGATGACGTCATAAATGACGTCACGCAAGGTCAACATTGCAAAAGTGACGCATCTAACCTTGCAAGGAGTGCATCAAATCACGATTCTGTGTGCTTGAGATAGTTGGAGATCGTTCCCGGCGCCAGAATAGCAGTTTTCATTTTTCCCCATTGACTTATAATGGTGAGGTCACGAAAACGACCTGACCTCATATGACCTTTAGGAAAAATCCGAGATATACAAGTTGTGAGACTCATAATGGATACTAGATCCTGCAAGTTTCATTTCCCTGTGACACCTCCTCTGGCAGTGAGGGCGTTGCGAAGTTGCGACATCTGAAGACCGTGCGGCGTGCAGAGGTTCACTTATGACGTCATAGGTCAGTGACCTGACCTGACCCAAAAATGCGGTTGGTGTCAAACGATGCGGCTTGAATCAAAGGTCAGGTATGCCAAATTTCAGCTCTCTATCGCCAGCGTGTTCGGAGCTATCGCGAAAAAAACCCTATGGGGGGGGGCGGCACCCGCCCCCCCCCCCCCCCCTCGGCCGGCGAGGGTTAAGCCACCAACTGCTTAGCCCCACGGCCCACATGGCTTAACCCTCGCCGGAACTATTGGTTTTCTACATACGCGCCGGCCGGGGGAGGGGTATGACCCCCTCGCCGTTTCGCCCCTGATGGAGCAAAAAAAAGTTTGCACCGTTACGAGACGCAGCGACGGAAACCCGATTTTAAGGTCTTTATAGGTCAACTGCAGTGATATTTGAGGTCACGTCAAGTGTTTCAAGGTATGGGCTCAGTTTTTGGTGAATAACTTCATAAAAAACGGCAGCAGTACCGCGTTTTTGACATCGTCGTGTTCGCATCGCTCAGGCAAGTTGAATGATCATATACTTTTTGTTTGGGTGAGGTCAATTAAAATTTAGTTAAATTAAATAACAATTAAATTAGTTTGTTTCTAGCTTAGCTACTTCGAAAGTTATTCGGGACAAACACTCTTTATTTTAGCGCCGCCATTTTGACTTTTTTGAGCCTTGTGACGTCATCTTTGACCTGAACTGAATATTACTTTTCAGTAGAAATTGTAGACCTTGTCCGTGCGTATACTATGCCGTTTACCGCTTGTCGCTATCTGGCTTCGTTCTCGAGATCTCAGGGGGGGGGGGGAGGTCAACCACCCTCCCCCCGTCGGTTCTAAGCTGGCGCAGACCCCGTCGGTGCGCGGGTTAAATATATGCTTCTGGATAAATGTTCCTTACACGGACTTACTCAGATAGAGATTTGTAAAAACGTTCCTTAGATAGACGTTCTTAAACCGCTTTTCCGCCGATTAAAGCTACATTCGGCTGGCAAACGTTGAAAGCATGGGATAGGGAGCGTTTTCGGTTTTTGCTACATCGGCTATAACTTTAAATATAAC